CTCCTCCTCCTCCTCCTCCTCCTCCTCCTCCTCCTCCTCCTCCTCCTCCTCCTCCTCCTCTTAAATTGACAAAAGTTACCAGCTTCCTCTTCTAACTCAAGAAAAAAGGAATAATGATAAATCTCCCTTCTTTTTGCTCACTGGAAGACATATCAGATAGGAAATCATATCGGGGGAGTCAGTTTGAAGGGTCTCTCAGTGGATACCACATGTCCTCAAAGACCCACCCACAGAAAGGAAAGCAACTGCCACCTGCTTTCATAGCATGGGTAGCAAGTATAAAGAAGCAGGAGTCATGGTAAGTGTTCTTTGGACAGAAAGCCAGGCCATCACCATGACCAGAGTAGAAGAAAAGGTTGAAATCCAGAAAGGAATTTAGCTTCATTTCCAGAAGGGAAGTTAGCTATATTTCCAGTCAATTTCAGTATAAGAGACAAGAGTTTAAGGAGGAGCCCTTACTGAGGTAGGCAGTAGTTAATTTATTCCTTGAATTAGCAATAAAGACCTGATCATCCTGCTTGATCCAGAGGACAAACATATCTTTATGAAGGAATTTTTTCCCTTGGGCCTGTGAGTCTATTCTTGTGGGTCCATCAAAGAAAATAGAAACACAAAGAAATGGAAACAATAAAGCTTATGAATTAAATGTATTACATTCTATTTTAGCTCCATCGCTGTATTTTTTTATAATGTATACAAATTATACATTCTTATATTCCTCCCCACCCCAGTCTCTGCTCATTTTATGCCTATAGGGTACATCGACAAAAGAAAGTGGAGGAGGATAGAAGTCACAGAAGATTGGGATAACATTGTATGCTTGTTTCAGTTCAGTTATACAGGTTTAGTTTCAATAAGAGAACATGAGCACTATGTCTTACATTAGCTTACAGAAGAACAACACTTACAGCATTTTTCAACTGTTGATTTTCTACTAGCACCTTCTTCAGCTGAAAGACAGCAGAGAAAACATAGAGTGACCCATCTCTGGAGGTCTTTTCCTCTCTTTTCCTGTGACCTTCTCTTAAAGCTGTGAGAACCCTACCAAGGCTGCAAACCCTACTTAAAGCTGCAAACCCTACCAAGGCTGCTTTCTAGATGATTTACTGACCCACACAAGTTAGTCTGTTTTTACCAGGGCTGGATTGATACCCTAAACACAATCCAACAATGGTGCCCTTCCATTGCTTAACTGACAAGACACTAAGACTCAATAAGTGCTAAAGGAGAAATAAGAGATTAAAAATTCACAACTATATTGGACCTAAACTTTTTTTTTAATGATTTATTTAACACTAAACAGCAGTAAGCAATATAAACAAATTATTTACCTATAATTAGGGGATAGAAAAAATGCAAATCTTCAACACTTTTAATGCATTTTTAATCACATTGTTATGAGGGAAAAATGCAAATACAAAAATTTAAAGTTGAGTTTGGAAGTGAAAGAGTTAAGGGAAGATAGTGAGGGGGAAAAGCTCTGTGGTGCCCCCCTTTCCTTGGTACCCTAAGCATATGCTTAATTTGCTTAATGGTTAATCCAGGGCTGGTTTTGACCCATCCACATTGTCTCCCCTTCCCATGTATAGGAACACAGATCAACAGTCAAATAATCCTCTTTTATCTTTCCCAAGTAATTAAGTCCTTACTTCACGGGATGCCTCAATCTAACTTTAGGTACTACGATGGCTTTTGAATGTAAATCAGGGATCCAGAACTTTCATTGGCTTGAAAGCTGCTTCAGGTTTTCCATCACATGTTAAGAAACAAACTCACTGTGTGGCAGGGTCAGGACCCATTTTAAGGGAGCATTAAGGGGTCAAATGGGTACCTTGAGTTCTAAAATGCTGACATCTTTGATTTACCTTTTAATCCCCCTCCAGAACTAATAAAAAAAATAAAAAAATTAAGTCCCATTATACTATGGGGAGCAGGACTCTGGAGACCACAAATAAGATGCCAGTGAATTGCATGTTGTCCAAGAACAACCGCACTGGATACACACCGCTGGGCTTAGCTGGAACTATGGTATGATTTGACAGAAGGCAGCCAGATGTATCCAGAGAACTGTACCTTAAAAGGCTTGAAGAAATGATAATAAGGTGTGAAATCCACACTTACCAAACACTCCATTTTCATTGCTTTTTCCCTGAGGATAAATATTCAGGCTATTAAAACAGAGCATAAATCATCAGGATAAAATTTCCTCTATCTTTACTTTCTCCTCTTCTGCTAACATTTGAATGTGGAGTTTTGTTAGTATTGCTGCTAATGCACACTGCCCTTCTGCAAAATGCATACTACACAATAGCAGGTTAAAAAAAGAGTCCCAATAAACCTGTTAAAAAGCAATATATGGAGATTACTAGGTATGGTCAAATAAGTCTACTTTAGCTTCTTTTGGTTTCTCATTTTTACAAAACTATTGGTTTTGATTTCTTTGTTTCTCATGTTTTCATTCATTAGTTCATCCCAGACCTTAGTAACTTAATTTACAAAGGCCTAGTAGTGTTCTGTCCCCTTGTTACATTTTCAAAGTTAAGATTCATACTGGAAAATCCCCTATTCTTGCTGCAGCTAAAATTACTTGTTTACTTATTACATTTATATCCCACCTTTCCTTCAGGAGTTCAAGGCAGCGTACATAGCACTCCTTCCTGCGACAGCTGTCCAGTAAGGTAGGTTGGCTGAAACAGAGTGGCTGGCCCCAAGCCAAATTCATTTTCTGCTTTTCTCTCTCCCCCCACCCGTAACTGAATTTGTACCTCTTTTGGAAAAAAAAAAAAGTTAAACTTCGACTATACCTTTGGATACCCCTGTATGGAGATGATGTCACACAAAAGAGTAACTCCAAACTAACCTATGGAACATATCTCAGATTCACTGGCTATGTTCTCATATCATACATAATCTGGTAGCTCAATTCACCTGTTTACTGAGTTGCCCAATACACTGGATCATAAATTAACAAAACCAGCTGGGTTTACACAACACATTAAACTGTGAATAAGGTCACCAAGGTTAACACTACAACCAGACTTGCATATTGTGAGTGTGCGTATTTATTTCAGTGAAATACACTGAGTGAACACACCCAATGAATCTTCTTCATTTAGCATCACATCCTTACCTCTCTGAGCTCTTATCACTACCACTGTAGCTCTCTTGATCTTTGCTTAGATAGTCCATTTCTGTTTTTGACCTCCTCTCCATCCTCTATGGAGAAAAAATAATTATTAACCATGTAAGAAGTTTGTCTCTGGATCAACTTCCTCAGGATTTTTTTTAATAGTGGGGAAATGCATCTATGGACTGCTGAAGCAATGTAGTAGACCAAGAATACTGCGTGGGAAACAATGCCACCAGAGCTAAAAGATCTTTATTTTATTAAATAAATGGTGTTTACTAAATAAATGGTGTTCATCAACCAAGCCACTTCAGAAAGATCAGTCTGAAATATGTTCCCTGCTGGATCTCTATACTTTGATCCAGCTGTAAACCTCACATCTTGTTTGGCTTACTTCTACTTACGTACAGCACAGCTTTTAAGGTTTGTAATGCTTGAACTTTGTCCTACTTTGATATTCCAGCAAAATTTTAAATAAAGGTCAATTCATGCAATTTGTAAAATCAAGTTTTTTGGGGATTATGTTTAGTTACAGGCATGAGAATTAGATTCATGTTCTTTTGGCTATATTTCAGGCATAATGCAAGTCTTCTCCACTCCTGCAGCCCAGGACCCCATCAGCTGGCGACAGGGAATCAATCTGGGTGTTTATCTACTGGAGGGCTGCAAAAATTATGGTCCAGGGACCATGTGTGGCCCACTGGCATCCCTTTGATGGTGGGCTAAGTGTATACTAGTATCTTTAGAACAGTCGAACCTCAACCTCTCCTATCTCTTTTTGCTGATACAGAAGACTAGGAGAAAATTTAGGGCAAGCCTTCTTAGGAGCTCTGCCAACCCCCCCCCCCTCATATTTCATCCTTGGGAACACAAGCAGATGGAAACTGCCCCAGTCATCCTGTGCATTGTTGCTAGTACAACATTGTTGTTAGTACCTAGATGACCTTCACAGATGTTGAAAAAAGCTACATGGGGTTGATTCTCATTATACTTGGTGGAGAGTGCTCCAAGAAATTCCAGGGTTGTAGACTTAAGTAGGAAGTTTTTTAAAAATCCTGGAATGGCAATGGCAAACTGTTTTGTTTTGTTGCCAAGGGTACTACATGTAGGTACTCTGAATTTGCTTTGACTGAAGGGAGTTCAACCATTTCCTAGTATTTATAGAGGGTGTGAAGCCAAAGTTTTAGTGACGATTCTGTCCTTGACACCCATGTGGAAATTGTCTTGGAATACTTCGTTCAGTCCTTTCCAGATGTTAAGTCTGAATAATCTGTCTTGGGGCTGTACCCCAATGCACATGCCAGAGAAGGTAGTTCAAAAGGAGGCAAGGCAATTAAGAACTAAAATGAATCTGATTCTTTAATTTTAATGGAATGAACCTTAAGTTAAATACATTGAATGTATTTACATCTCCTATCTTCCATAGTTTCCCTTTATCATATTAAAAATTACAATTCATCAGCAACTTTCAGAGACACTCTCAGAAATTGTACCTTTGTTTTAAAAGCACCATCACTGGTGCTTCATTCTCACTGTCAGGTTTCCCTGTACATATCTTTTACTTTGCTTTCTACATGTTATAATATTAGATTTGGATTATTTATCTGGGTATACATTCAGAACAGAACTTTGCCAATTGCCATTTTACTTATGGCTCTCTCAGTGATGGCCTCAATGGTCTTGCTTTCTTTCACATGGGGAAGATATGTCAGTGGTAAAGAGGAGAGACTGAATTTATATAATGCTATCTACTATCTGTCTATCTATCTATCTATCTATCTATCTATCTATCTATCTATCTATCTATCTATCTATCTATCCATCCATCCATCCATCCATCCATCCATCCATCCATCCATCCATCCATCTCTCCATCTATCTAATTACACATTGGTTTAAATTGTATTTCCTCCAGATGTATGGATTTCAATTCCTGGAATTCTCGACAAAGGCCAAGTTGGTTGGAGGATTCTGGGAGTTGTCCGTCCATCTGGAGAGTGCTAGTGTCAAGGAAGGCTAGGTTTTACAACAATGATACTGAATGTTCTCAACTACAGAGATTTATTATATGTGAAAGCTTTCCCCCCTAATTCTCAGTGTGCTTGCCTGATTCAGGATAGCAAAAACAATCTGCACTTTATTATGTATTTCATATCGTGTCCTGACTGTAACATTAATACTGACAGATGTTGGTAAATTATTTGGATTCTGAGATTTGCTTACATTTGGTTTCTAGGGAGACCAATTTTTCTTGCTTCAGCTTTCTCCCAACATGCTGTGTAGCAAATGGTAACTTCTTTTAAATATTCTTTACTGTTCCCCAAAGGAGTGACCAAGATATGTTTTCACTGGTATTTGGTTCCGTTTTCTAGAATTCAGTGATATAAAATTTCATGGCTTGGATGATAGCTTCCTTTCTCAAGATGAAGACATTTCATTTCCATGGAAATAGTGTAGTTGGATCTTACAGTGTGAAGTTATCTAAGAGAATTGGACTTGGGCCTAAAAGTGTGGGCAGATTAACTGCACACTGAGAAGTTAAGGAAAAACAAAAACAAAGCTTTCAAAAGTAGGGCAATTTTCATGGATCCTTGCTATGGGAAAAATAGTACATATTCTCGATCACGTGGGTTGAATAATCTCCAAAAGTCCTAGCATTATGTTTTCTAAGTATGGTGGGTGTTCACTACCCTTAGTGCTTTGGTTCAGTATAAATTAAATCTCCTCTTACAACCACAGTCAAATCTTTTTAAGGCTTAGATTCTCAACTGTAAAAAAGTAGGCCAAGAACAAGCCAGTGTGACTGATATGAGAGTAATATAAATTGATGCCAACAGAGTTCTTCTGCTCTTGCCCTACTAGATAGGAAAATGTCAATCATCTCATCAATTTGATAAATGTGTGCAGGATGAGGATTGTTGAAGTTTCCTGAGCAGAATTGGCTGCTATTCTTTAACTAGCCATTCCTGTTCTTCATGGATGTGTGTTTCCTGTAACATATCATGAAAGGCCCGTTGCATTCTCAACACGTTGGACCTTAGCAACTGACATCCCAGATTATTATTTAAAAAGCCTTGTTACACTCTGAAGTTATATTCTTCAGAAGAGGTTTGTAGTGGTGACATATGTAATAAAGCATGAGATAATCTACATATAGGAAGAAAGTGCTCTAGGTAAACTTTCTGGAAAGGTAGTTTGGAAGTTCAGAGCCTCTTTAGATGCTATATTCATCGTATTTGTCGGTTATTCCTCATGAGGAAGATTAAATTAAGAAAAAAAAAAGAATGACATTATTAAACACAACCTAATATAACTTAATATTATGGTATTATGAATACTAAGAATAACAACTAATGCTGATTGATTTAAATATTGCTATGCCAACAGGTTCTTTGTGGATAGATTCTTGCAAGATTCCATCAAGAATCAACACCTGTTGGTTTATACCCATGAGATTATAGAAATAATTCAACCAATTCTAAGCATTTACTTATAATTTACTAAGCATGTCCTTAGAAGCTAGTCCTATTATGTTCAGTGCGGTTTGTTTAACTTTAGTTATCTCTATTGAGAAATGGAGCTTTGATCCTCTCTCTTTGAAATATGAAAATCATAGGCAGAGGTAGGGATTTTTTTTTGGAACAGGACACACATTTGACATTTTGATATCATGCTGTGAATGCACTCACAAAAAGGCTACTATGGGAGATATGCCTATTCTCAAAGTAGATGCCATGGTAGCTGCCCAATTACAAAACACCTCTTTACAGAATGTAAAAATACTGTAAATATGTTAGAGGTAAGTCTTTTGCTTTGCAGCATATCATCTTCCTTCCTTCCTTCCTTCCTTCCTTCCTTCCTTCCTTCCTTCCTTCCTTCCTTCCTTCCTTCCTTCCTCTTTCAACTCACCTTGAATCTTAATTTGTTTCCATCTGGTGAAAGCGGCAAACAAATTGGAGTGACGAAAGTGCAAGAGACAAAGCATGGTTGTGAGTTGGAGTTTCGGAGAGGGCGGCGGTGGCGGGGTGCCGAAGAACACCGGGAAAAGTCTTCATAGCTCTTGTAAGGGATCATTTGGAAGGGACATCTTCACTCCAAAGTGATTTTTCTTTGAAGAATCCTGGCGGCAGTTAGTCTCCATAGCAACATCTTAGGGATGACTGACCCCTATCATTCTATTACTGGAGAGGGAGGGATCACTTGATAGCCCCTAAATATAAATGGACTGGTTGATTAATTCTAAAATCAAAGATAAATGGAGAACGGAGAACTGGAATGTAGCCAAGAAGTCTTCAAGGCTTTTACACTAAGCATTCATGAGGTATCTCTTCACTTTCCCAACTTAGCTTTTGTAACTTGCTCAACAAAGAGAGATGCTGAGATGTATTTTTTATTTTTGGTTTCAAAAGCTTGTATCTCTTTTAGTGATCTCTGAGTTAGATTAATAAAAGGATGGCCTTATAATGGATTTTCAATTTCACCAAGTGTACTATTACTCAACATTTCTTTTTAATGCATTGGTACATTTACTTACCAGTCTTCATATGTTCCCAATTTCGTGCTCTTCAACAGCAAAATTAATCCACTGAAAGTAAGTTTAGAAAAACTAGTTTTGAAAGAATCAGAAGATGATATGAGTTCTTTGGTTTATTAGCAAGGAGGTGTCAGTAAAAGGATTACGGTGCCTCATGCACATTTTCTTGGTTTCCTCAGCTGCAAACCTCTGACACAGAGAATTATATTAATAATTGGCTTCAAGAAGTGCCATTAATCTATCTGCAGTTTTAAAGATACTGCAAACCTGTGGATAGGACCAATGAGTGCCTGCTTGAAAAATATCTGATTATTTTCCCACAAGATTATCAGTTCTTCTGAAAATCAAGATAAATTGTGATGATATTATGCCGCAGCTAGGATGGTGAATCACTACCAAAATATTATTATGCTGGATACAGTTTCTGAAAGATTCCTAAATCTGCTCATGCACATGTGCTTTTGCCATCATTTTCATTTTAATTGCTGATTTCTGCCTATATACACCTTCTTTTGGGAAGCTATTACATAGGTAAAATGATTGGAGTCCAACTGAGTCTGCCTCCCTTGCCCCTTGTTGGCTTGCAAAATTTTGGAATTAGATTCAGATTCCCTGGCATGTAAAGTGTCATCTGCAGTCATTTTTCAAGCAACTATTTCCACCAAGATGTTTCCTTGGATTTTAAGAATCTGCTTATACTTGATTTTGGCTGATCTTGAAAAACAAAGCAGGGTCACACCTGCATAGAACTTGGATGGGAATCTACCAGGAAATCCCAGGGCTGTATAATAGATTGGGAAGACAGGGGGGTGGGGGGGGGGAAATCCAGAAATAATGCAATAGCAAACTATTTCAATATGTTTGCCAAGAAAGTCTTTGAAGTCTGCAAAAGTTGAGCTCAACCTGAAGGAAACTTTACTTTTATTTCCCCTTTTAATGTCCACTAACATAAATGTATTCTTTTGATTGCTTTCTTTTTAAGCTGTCAGCCTTTCCTCAAAGTCTATAGAATCTCATCTTGTATTTTCTTTAAAGCAGAGGGTTTTTTTAGAGTTGGATCCTAGAAAGTTGGGTTTCTACTCTGGAATCATGGATAGCACACTATAGGTACCATTTGTTAAGAAATTCAGTGGAAGAGAGCTGTCACCTTTCTGTCCATGTGTATGAGGTTCCCAAGGAATATTAAACCAAATGGTCCTTGATTTGATCCAACAGTCCTTTTTACAAATATTTTTACAATTTTTGACTGTTCAGTAATCTGGATCAGAGAACATTTATGTGTCAGCCACAAGTCTGGAAGATAATCAAAGCACGTCTTTCCCATTGGAAGAATTACTGATAATGTACTTAATTTAATTATAAAATAAATATGTTTTCTAAGTTTTCCTGTCATGCTGAATGCTAAACTAATCAAGCAGGCTCGGTTTGCATAGCCCATTTGTGGCAAAACAAACAAATAAAGAAAACCATAATGAAAATCAAAACCAAATGTATTATGTTGTGCTAATGAAACTATTAAATTTTTTGTTGACTTAATTAAGCATGTTGTGTAAAGAGAGCAAATACATGAAGGCTCCCCAATTTTTCTAAGTGAGATCAGGACTCTGGAATCCCCTCCCACTTGCCTTTCTTCTAACCTTATGCCAGTGTGATTTGGACACGGAGCAGATTGATATTCATCCCCTACGCTACTGAAGATCAGTACACATATGGAGCAATGAGGTTAATTTTGGGGGATAGATCTTGCAACCTGGATTTTTATCCACATTTATTAAAAACACCAGTTTCCTGCTTTTGTGCTACACATTGAAGTTTACATATACAGATGGGGAGATGTTATGACATCATACAATGGGGTGTTCCACTGATTTCAACAGATGAGTACATGTTCAATTTATCCTTACTGGAATTCAAGTGATAAAAATAGGTAGATGTCACAGTGTACAGATAAACCAGGATTGGTACCTGAATGCATTAGTGGTAGTACGTACTACTGTATTGAAAAATGCTTCTCTTTTGGCTCAGAAACACAAATATAACATCCATGTTATAGTCTGAAAATGTCTCAGATTCTCTTCTCCAGCATAGAGAAATCCTTCCTCCCTCTTTTCATTCATATAACCATTCCTTCGCATACTTTCTTTATTGCTTCATCAGTGGTAGTAGAATGGAAGGAGATCTCTCTTTCCCTTTCCTATTATGACTCCTTCTTAGCATAAGGATGTAACATTCAATGCTATGTAGTTTTGCAGTGCGCCAGGCATCAGAAAGGGAGAGATGCCTTGCTTCTGAGAATACCACCAAGAGCATGACAGTTTCAAGACAGATTACAAAAATTTTCCCTCCATTAGAGTAAGGATGAAAATCAAGGACCTTCACAATTAAACAAATATGCAGACACACACATATGTTTGCAAATCCCAGTTTTGCTGTTCATGTTATAACACCTATTTCCTGTTAGTTTGCCTCCATAAATCATCATGCTTCTCAAAAACCATCAAAATGATGTTTTTTGTCCTATTTGCTAGTTAACCTAGTTCTCCCCAACCCAACGTCTTTCAGATTTATTGGCACTACAACTCTGTGTTCCCAACAAGCATGGCTGAAGACGAACTGGGAAATTTATGTTGACTGTAAATTCTGGGGGTTGTAGTTCCAACACAAGTGAAGGACACCAAGTTGGAGAAGGTTTACTGATTTGAGAGGCTTTCCTGTTTACTAGAGGCAGTTGGTGTACTGATTATTGCCAGGGTTGAATTCACTATGGAGGCTGTTATTATTATATTGTGCCACAGAGAACAGAAAAGGAAATGTAAAAATGAAAATGAATCTACTACCACAGGTGGCTTCTGGTTTGCAGCTTGTTGGGAAATCTTCAGTTCAGTACAGATCCAAAACAGTCTCTTGTCTAAACACTTGAGTGCTCCAATCTGATATCTGAAGAGATGCTTGGCAACCTGTTCTAACTATGAATGACATCACACATAACATCATAAGGAGAGCAGAAGGGAAGGAAAATTTATCAGCTTTCACGCTAGGGCTGGGCAACCTATGACCCATGAACTACAAGTGGCCATCCCAGGCTGTTTGCAGCCCTCTAGAATTTACTAGTGATATTATTGTGTCAAACCCTCTGTGAATCTTGGAGACTGAATATATTTATATTTATATATATTTATAAAAATCCCCTCTCATCCCTATGGGTGGTTTGTGTCTTCCTCAATCTCAGGTCCTCTACCAGAGGCCTGGGAATTTGAGGGTTCTGCACAGTATCTTAGCTCTAATATTGTTTCTGGGATCTGTTGGAGCCACTCTCCCAGCCTAGGAGTCACAGCCCTGAGTGCTCCTACCACCACTGGGATCAGTTTGGCCTTCACTTTCCACATCCTTTCTAATTCCTTCTTCAGGCCCTGGTACTTCTTCAACTTCTCATACTCCTTCTTCCTGATGTTGCTGTCACTTAGCACCACTACATCTGTCACCACTACATCTCAAGACAAGACAACCTGAAGATAGATACATGATAGAGATAGAGATAGAGATAGAGATAGAGATATGTGTGTGTGTGTGTGTGTATTCCTAGCTATAGAAAAGTTGTCTGTCTATACCTGGGTTCTCCAAAGTGGTCAATATTGACCCCCAAGAGTCAATGGAACCCACCAAGGAGTCGATGTTGTTGTTCATAGTACTATTAGTTAAAGTAATATTTATTAAATTATTTTCATATAATAA